CAAAGACAATAGTCCAGTCAACATTTGTGCCCATTTTGAATAGTATTGAACCAGTTTTCATAGTTTCATATCAGTTTGAACTTGTAACAGGAAGCTTATCAATGAAAACAGCCAGTTTTTACAATATGCTCATGAGGGAAAGGGTTCATTTAAACAATTAAAAAAGCTACAAAACAACAATTTTTCACTAAAATTATGTTAAAAGGTCACATGTTAACATAAAAAAAATAGATTTTGGATAGTTCCAAGGTTTTTTATTATTTTTTGGTAACCCTTTACTTCATATAGACGTGTTTTGACGGCGTATCGAACCCCCTTTAAGGCCTCAACAGTGAAATATTACCCTTTTTAGGCGCCAAACACTGTTTTTCGTTTTGTTGATCACTTTTTCGGCGCCGCTCCCTTTCTAAAAGGTACATCAGGGAGTTACCAAAAGGGGGGAGTGGCCCCTTCTGTTTAGGCGGTTTGAAGGGGGGCGGTAGTCCCCCTCATTGCCAAGAAAATTTTGGACTTGTGATAGGCTAAAATGACCCCAGGTCGATCATAAGGTAATGTGTAACCAATGCTGAAAAGCCATTTGCAGTACTTTGGAATCAATTTTGATGAAACAAAATCAACGCAATATAGTAATTTTTGAGATGTCCTCTCTTTGCCATGGTAACGGGAAATTTAAGACTGAGCATGTCGTTACAAAAGCAATAGTCCAGTCAACCTTTTGCCAAGTTTGATTAGTATTGAACCAGTTTTCATAGTTTCATAGCAGTTTGAACTTGTAACTTGTATGGCGTGATGAAAAATTACATTTGTATTCATCAAAGTTATTTAAAATATTTATTAAAGCTCATTAAATCAATGCTACACAATAACATGAGATATGCCGATAATATATGGCTACATAAACAGCTACGGCGATTAAAATATTTACCTTGGAATTGCACTTAAATGTCCAAACAAATCCATGAAAATGATGAATTTTAGGTATCAAATCATTCTGCTTGATAAAAAAGAAAAACTACCTATAATTTCCGAAAGATATTTATAGACTTTCCATGAGTCACAAATTTGTCATCCGAGAAGACGATCCGAGTTAACTCGATGATTTTAAACCATGTAGCGTGTATTTTGTAATAAAAATTTTACCTCATTGTGCATTCATTCATAAAACATCTTCAGAATTATTGTGTTTAAGAGAGAGCTTACAAGCATGCAACATAATAATTTATTCAAACTGATCTGTTTTTCACTGTCAAAGTGTATTTGTTTAGCTTTACATTTCAAAAGTTTGACTATAATAATGGTAACAGACCAATATTTGATATTGAAAAATGTTTATGTTAAAATACGAGTACAAAACTTACAAAAATATACAAATAGAGTTCCCACCTTTTTTAAAAGAAAAACTACCTATAATTTCCGAAAGATATTTATAGACTTTCCATGAGTCACATAGGTAACTGACTTAAGTTTTCATGTGAAGGAACGTTTACAATATGTTTATTTTAATATGTTAATTTACCAAGGGTTATAAATGTTACATGTGGAAACAAATATACAGAAATCAGTAGTTAATGTTACTTTTCCTGTATATTCACCATTAAAAATTTGATGGGCATAATGTTACTTTAAAGGTTGATAGTCCGACTGTTTAAGGATCTCCCTTATTCCAGATTCTTATACTCATACCGAGACTGCATTTTCATGTATCTTTGTTGTGCTTAATGCTTCCGAGGAAACACTCTTTTCCAGAATTTTATGCTTCACAACAGCAGGTTCGGCAGCTGTAGAAAGTTGATTCCAGCAATTTAAGTCTTGAAAATTGAGTACCGCTCGTACGGCTAAAGTCGGTGCTAGTGGGTGTGAGGAATGTTGATTTTTTCATTATCCCTTAGTTTTAAAGGAATAGGAATGGATAGATTGATGTCTGTCTAATATAAATATTTATCATTTGAAAAGAGGTACCATGACAGTTTTTCTGTTGAAATCAACCGTATAACTAAGAAATTCGTGTTTGTTTACTTGAGAAATATGTTCATGGGCGCCGCCATTTTGGTGTTCTTTCACTCTCGCGAGACGGACGAGACCGAGATTATGACGTTATACACCCACTTCCGGTATAGGTGTACACGCTGGCACAACTGAAATATATCTTGATGAAGAACTTATTAATCTTATTACGTACATTATATAATATCACAGAAACTTGAAATTTAATCAACACAAAATATACGTATATTAGTGATATAGCCCTTATCTAGAACTAAATTCCTTTAATTTATTAATTGAAGACGCCGCGACATTAATTACCATTTGTCCGATGTTCAAGCTTGCTGATGATCCCTGACCATATGATTTAAGCAATGACTGCTTAATTTTCAAAGATAAATCATTTAATTTATTTGGTCAATTTAATTTTGGGTACTATAAATAAAATGAGAGAGAAACTTCTTCAAATTTGCGATAAATCCTTTTATTTTGTAACTTAATTTTCGCTAGACAAGCTGTCCTTTGTATGTGTGAATCGGGTACATCGCCGGTCATGTTTTTTTTTTTCAGCGTAAAATCTCAACTAAATCCAATATGCAGAAATCTGGCTGAGGCTGAAAAAATGAGAATGGCGCAGTAAAATCGGCAGCCAGACAAATATCGTATGAAAACAAAACTGTCCGTTGGGTTATTTAGTTATCCAGTCATTACTGGTACCAACAGATTCTCCTGTAATTTCACATTACGCAAGAGAAGAGATTGCTCCGCTCACTGATTCACGTGACCCGGTCATTCAGAACCTTAGACAAAATACGGTACCGATGTTTACGCGAAACTGTCATGCCACTTAAGTGACTAATGAATTTACCTTATATAATTTGGTACATATAAAATTTAATGCTTTTATTGAATAGTTCGATGTATAATGGTATTTAAAAAAAGTAACAAATAACTGCATTCAAGCATTAATGATGAATAAAACGTTTGGCAAAGATCTTGTTATATTTCTTGCTGACATCAAGGAAGTTGTTACTGACAAAATATCATTTTAGTTTACAAATTCAAAGATAGTTAAAATTGATGTAGTGGAAAATATAAAAGTAAAAGTATATCAATGAAACAGTAACATTTACACATGTTTTTTGGGGTTTTATGTGCGAAATCACACATATATATAATGCATTTGCGCATAAATTGTCAAAATTAAATGAAAAAACTGCCCTGGCGTAACTTTGTTATACATGTATATGTTTATTTGTACATTAGATATTTTCGTGATGAAACGCAATATTATTCACTTCAAAATAAATTTCACATATACCATACCTCACCGTGATCAGATATGATGTTATTGAAGCAGATGTATTTGAAGATTTAATCTTTAATCTTAATTCATTGAGCTTTAATAGAAATATTGAGGTAGGATAATTTCACCTGAAATATTTATTGCATATTTTTTCATTTTATTTGCAAGTACTTTTTTTTCTACTGCAGCATTTTATTGACAATATGTTATAAACGAACAAAAAAAATGTCATATCTTCTGGATATTCTGAGACCTTATAATATTTTATGTGATTATGAATAGACATACTTGTAATGAAGGAAGGAATAGAGTATTTGTTTAAACTTGTTCCTTGTTTAATGCAATTTGGTATAGCCAGTTTCAACTTTCCTACCTGCTATATAACTTATTATCTTCATATATAGAAAGTTACTGATATTTTTGGGTTTTTCGTAAAATGAACTAACTGACTCCATCTGTCAATATGTCAGGATATTTTGTAACTTAGATATACCGTTTTAATAGCTTTAAATTGACAAAAATCAAAATTTCAATATAAATACTGCTGCACCATTGTCTTATACACATAGCTTGTCTAAGGAAAATGACGGACTTTTCAGACATCTTAGCGTGAAACTGATAACGATCGCGGATTGGCTTATTTGTAAGACCCCTGCCAGGTTGATTGACAGGCGGCGTAATGTCAATTTTACTCAATTAGGCACGTAATTTCGTATATTCTGTGAGATTTAAACCACTCAAGGAGACAATCTAGAAATCATGACTTATGATTATGAATGACAAACAACATTCAAAAATTCTTCTCTAAATTAGTTTGTCGTATACATCCAATGACCAATCTTTGTTTCATATTCATTACATTTTGCTTTTAAGGTAAATGAAAATGATGAAATGTTAAACAATCAGGAAATAAACATTTTTACAACGAGGTAGAAATAAACAGATAAAGACAATGCAAGTGTCACTATGGGTCATTGGATGTATACGACAAAAGTGTCTGCATTAGAGGTGTCATTTCACAATGATAATAATTTTTATAGAAATTGATAAATTGTTCAAACATCATTCGATAAGTATGTCTCATTTGCGAGTGAATAAATACTTTCAGCGTGGAATGCTTACATTTGACAAACGACAAGCCAGTTTGAAAAAGACAAACCGATGTCATTAAAAATCGATGATTATTATATCATTAAATAATTGTTTAGAGTTGACAATATAGTTGCGTTACGTATATAATACGGCTTTGAATATCATTACAAGAGAGTCATCAGTGTTTGCGTAGTACAAGCCTGTTTCCACTTACCGCTGCTGGTTTGAATCCCGTGAGGGACTTTCAATTATCTCATGTGTGGAAGCTATCAAGCTTATTTACTCAAAAGCCCGTTTGTGCATAAATAATGGGCCGAGGGTCACATGAGGCCTCCCTCAAACAGTAAAGATGTTTGACCTTAAAGAGTTATGATCTGAATAATGAATGCAAATTCATTTTATATCAACAGTACCTATAAATAGGCAGAAGTACTATTTCTCAATATCTTTCGTACTATATGTTCAATATCTAATTTTTACTTAATATTCTAAAATGTTAAACTGGTAAAACGATAAAAATGCCATTTTTAGAAATTGTCATTTTCATGAATATTATTTTATGCAGAAGATATTTTTTAAAAAATGAATTATTTAACATTTGTAGTCATGCTGATTTAGTTTTTGATCATGAATTAAAGATAAAACTATCAAAATATAGTTGCATACAGCCCTTTAGAGAAAGAAGTAGTTTTTTCTGCTGAAATTAACAAAAGTTATTAAACATAGCTATTAATACATATAACATGTAAATTTAAACTTATGAAATTATTATAAAACAAATCTACTTTTATGATACTTACATAGATAAAGCAGTTCTATATTAAAACTCTCTAAAAATAAAATGTTTTCGGCTGTGTTAAATACTTACAAAAATGCTCTTTTCTCATAATTAAAGTTATATGTAGTTTAGTTTTACTTTGACAATATATGTAGTTTTACTTTTTCATAATGGTCTAATGATTTATACTCGTCTGACATTTTGCCAATTTAAAATAACAATGAACGCTTCAATGAATAAGATGCAACTTTATTGAAAATATGTTCATTTCTTGTCAAGCGTTACTTACAATGTTAACATTAGTAATATGACAATATGATATTAACTCTTCTCATGTCAACTCAAGCATTACTTACACTGTTAACATTAGTAATATGACAATATGATATTAACTCTTCTCATGTCAACTCAAGCGTTACTTACAATAATAACATAAGTAATATGACAATATGATATTAACTCTTCTCATGTCAACTCAATCGTTACTTACATTGTTTACATTAGTAATATGACAATATGATAATAACTCTTCTCATGTCAACTCAAGCGTTACTTACACTGTTAACATTAGTAATATGACAGTATGATATTAACTCTTCTCATGTCAACTCAAGCGTTACTTACATTGTTTACATTAGTAATATGACAATATGATAATAACTCTTCTCATGTCAACGAACGTCTTTAAGCGTCTGTATATCGATAAAATGCTGCTTCAGTTGTAACTTAAAACATCGGATTTCTTCCATATACAGGTATACATTAAAACATGCTGAATTTGTTGTTGAATTTTGCTTCAAAAAATGGCACTATAAATTGTTAGTGTTTAAGTATTTAAATAAAAATATTCTTGGTGTTTTGAAAAGAAACTAAACATTTCAGCAATTTCTTAGAATTGAATTGTGTTTGATCCTACATTCAGATTGTTTTTTTTAAATCGTTTTTGTGCATTAACATCTACAGAAGCACAACGATTGAAATCCGATGAGTATGCCCAAAAAGACGCATAAGCGTTATTTTTACATAAAAGTAAACTTTTAAATCGTAAAATCTGCGATTCTTTATCTGTATTTCGTATATAGAAACTATTCCATTTGCAATGTCTCCGCAAGTGTAATATCATAGTATTATGTTAAGATAATATGAAGCCACTGGGGCCGTCATTTTCCATATGCTGTTATTAACCATCCGCCCGCATAAAGCATATTAAAAAGTGCAATATCAGCGCGTGATCCGTGTTTTCTTAAAACGTTAATGTATACCTGCGTGTGCAGTTTTTTATGCAAGGATAGTTCGTATTAAATTGGAAGATATACATCATTATTGTAAAATGTTCACTTTTGCAATGAAAGAAAACATATTTGTTTCTTACCCTTAATTGTGATAAAACTTCTGTTTTATCTACTTCAATAAAATACAAGCATATATCTTATAACATATTTTAATGAAAGTGTCTAGTCTATAAGAGTATATTCCGACAGATGTTACTAGTTTATTATGAACTATAATTAACATAATCAGTTGCTGGTGGTGTTTCCTGCTGACTTGTAGTTATCTGACTGTATAGTCTCTCGTCACGTGATTTCAAATCCTCGTAAGTAACAGGGGAGTCATTCTCATGTGTGTCGTCTGTGCAAAAAATGAATAGTCATAATTATGAATAAAGCATCTTATTATAACATTTGGGTAGGTGGGGGGGGGGAGTTTCTTTGTTCCGCTCCGCCCTATCTTAGAAACTTGTAGAGATATTAAGTATATGGACATTATTTCTTTAAAGATTTAAGTTTTCTCCGTTGCAAAGGACACATAAAGAGATTAAATATTGCTCGTTAAGTAGGCGTTATAAAATGATAATGATAATGACATCAAAATGCTGATGTATAATCAGTAAAATTTCTAACACTAGGTATGCAATTATAATTTATTTTCACTGATGTAAATGCGTGCATCTAGAAATATGCATGTTTGAACTAAGGAGCTTTGATTAAGGATATTTACTTAAACAACGATATGCATCAAATGGTATAAGATCAATTAAAAATTCCTATCAAGATATGAACAAAGATTGTGTTAATGAAAAACATGTTAAGAGGATTACCGTAAGAAAGATTTCCACAAGGTCCTATCGTGTTTTCATATCCGTGTACTTCTAATTGTTTAGTTTGTATATTCCTAAAATACTTAAGGAAATGTGCATTCTGAACTACATTTTATCACTCAATTCCAGGTATTCGTTACTTTAAATCCAGTTTTGAAGGTGTATGTATAGATGTATGAACTATTCCCTACTTCTTCTTATCTAAGATAGTTTAAGTACAATATGACAAAATATTAACCTTTTTAATTAACAACTATCGAAATTTGTAATGGAATATATAATGTTACAAACCTTCGCCTCCATACAATGAAGGTAATCAAGGCGGCAATTCCAACAATAATACCACCAGCTAGAAATGTCCCTATTGTAGATCCTATCAGTGTACTTCTAGTATAATAGCCTTTTAGATCCGCTATAAGTGATGCAAACAAATCTTTGTAATTTAAATATTTGTCGAATATTGTAACTGTTTGTGTAGCTTATTGCAAATGAGTCTTTAAATAAACAAGTTCAGTAAACTCCGCTTATAACGAACTCATTGGACATTCGAAATATGTTCCTTATATCCGGAGTTCCTTGTAAGCATATAGCGAATTAGTTCCTTGTATCAGTAGTTTTTATAGCGAACAGATTTACATATAACGAACTGTTTCTTATTAACGTGCATTTGGTTAAGAAAACTTAGTCGTTTATTTCTATTTTAGACACAATACCCAAGAGCGTACTTTTTGGAATTTTAAAAAATCCTTTGATATATCAGTTTGAATTTTACTCCCTTTCTCAATTTCTCATAAAATATCATATTTTGTTTCTAAACTCAGTACTTTTCGTTTTCTTTCCATGATTAAGAATAAACAAGATTTTGGATTTTTCTTTCCTTTATACTGAATATATCTTCTACTATATTTTAAGGGTGACTTTTACTTATGAAAGATATTATAACTGAACAGCTTCCGGAATAAGTTTGCAAATCCGGGATTTTCGCAAACTCAGCTACCCGTTCTTAAGTAATTACAGAATAAATGAAGAGTTCAGTTAACAATGGGTATAAAGTTAAATAAAAACTGGTCTTTAAATTACCCCTAACAATGAGTACTGGGGAGACAATCAAAGTTGAGTCCCCCATGGGGTTTTATCATTCTCCCACTGGCGGTTTGCTATCCCGTATGGGGGTTTATCCCCATTCTATAAAAATGGGAGATAAAAATAATGGGAGATTTAGAAAAAATTAAGAATTAAATTTTATGCAAGAAAACTATTAATGTAGTCTTCAAATACTTTATTGTGTAAATAAAAAGTAATGTTTAAAAATTCACCCATTTTCGTTGCGGGACAAATCCACCAATGGGTGAAATCTCCCATCCATATTATGGGGGAAAAGTCCCATGTTGATACATGGGAGAAAATCCCATTTCTAATAGTGGGAGATAATTCCCTTTCCTTGCAAATGTGAGAGTGTTCTATTTATTAGGTGTGGCGCTTATAACCTATAATACAAAATATACGAATGAAATAAAATCCAAAAAAAAAAGAAATAAAATGGCAGGGAATATGCAACAAAATAGTAATAATAACAATAATAATAATAAATAAATAAATAATAATAATAATAATAATAATAATAATAATAATAATAATAATAATAATAATAATAAAAAAATGAATAATGATAATAGTAATAAGCATACTATTTTTTTAAAGATATTAATCATAATAATAATGATAATAATAATAATAATAATAATAGTAATAATGATAATATTAATAATAATCATAATAATATTAATTAATGATAATATTGATGATAATAATAATTATGATTTGAATAATGATAATAGTAAGAAGAAGAAGAAAACATAATAATTAATAATAATAATAGTAATAATAAAAAAAATGATAAAAATAATAATAATAATAAATAAATCTCATCATAATAACAATAATTATAATAATATTTTTAAAAAATAATGATAATAATAATAATGATTAATATTCATATTCATGATAATAATATTAATAATAATGATTATAATAATAAGAAGAAGAAATAATAATAATAATAATAATAATAATAATTATAGTAATAATAATAATAATACAAATAATAATAATAATTATATAAATGATAATATTAATTATAACAAAACAGGCATTGGCATTTTATCTTGGAATATGACGGGAATGAATACAGGAAAGTATCGTATGTAACGATTTAATCACCAAAATCCATTTAAATTAAAAACACTCCAAAATGCTTGGGTGTACTCTTCGCCGGTGTCCTATCTGTATTTTCTGTCTCATCCAGTCTATTTTGACATTCAAATAGTTCCACAAGCTAAATGGCAAGTCTCTCCTGGTTTTGAAGTATATAACTTATTTGATTTCATTAAATATAAATACCGCGGTAAGATTTTTTTTTCGAAAAACAAACAATATGTTGATCACTTCGTTTAGTTGTAATAATAACTTTATAGAAAACAATTTTTTAAAATTATTCATAAAATGGATAAAACCAAGCAATTCCAATAATGGAAATTGTTTCATTTTTCTATTGTTATCATCGTCGGATGAAAAATTAGTACTGAATTTTTTTTCAAAACAAACAAACAAAAATAGACATTATTTATAAGATTAAACGGTAATATGCTCAAATGGTAATCTAATCGGTGTCATACAGATTTTTAAGATGTAGCGATTAAGTAATAAGGGCTGAAACACAAGTGTGCCGTAAGGCGTGCGTAGCATAAAGCCATAATAGACCTGATACTGATATTTTACAATCTAATAATCTTCTGGTAAATAATATAGACATGTCAAATAACCAGGTTGAAAATAACGTCTTTCATGAGCTTAATGTTAATATTTCCATTGAAAAAGTCCATAAGGCAATATGGCAGGCAAAACTCGGTAAAGCTAATGGATTTGATAATATTCCAATTGACATTTTTAGAAACAATTGTTCAGTTTCATTTTTACATATTCTATATAATATTTGTTTCAAAAAAGGAATTGTGCCTTCAGATTGGGGAAAAGTGATAATAACTCCCATACCCAAATCTAGCACGAATGACCCTCGAGACCCTTTATCATATAGAGGAATAGCACTTTCTTGCTCCATGTATAAATTATATTCTTCGATTTTGAATAACAGGCTTTCATCATATTCGGAATCTAATAATATTTTAGCAGATGAGCAAAATGGTTTCAGAAAACATAGGAGCACTGTTGACCATATCTCATCCTTGTCCAATATTATTGACACGAGGAAAAAGCATAAATTATCTACCTTTTGCGCCTTTATTGACTTTCGTAAAGCTTATGATTTTATTAATAGAAGTCTATTATGGAAAAAACTATTTGAATTAGGGATTAATGGAAATATGCTCAATGCTTTACTATCCTTGTATAAGTCCATGTCAACCAGGGTACGAATAAATGGTCTATATACAGACTGGTTTGAAACTAACTCTGGTCTTCGTCAAGGTTGTTCGTTACCACCTATTCTTTTTAACATGTTCATAAACGATTTAGTTCTAAAAATGAAAAACACTGGTAAAGGCGTTACTATAGATAACGAATTAGTTTGTATTTTATTATATGCTGACGATATTGTGCTCATAGCTGCAAATGAAGCAGACCGTCAATATATGTTAAATGTTTTAGCAGACTGGTGTTCTACCAATACAATGATTGTTTACCCAGAAAAAGTAATATAGTACATTTTCGTCCACAGTCGGTTGGCAGATAGGATTGTTGCTTTAAATGTGGAGACCACTTTTTAAAGGTGGTTGGTCACTATACATACCTTGGTTTAATGCTCAATGAATTTCTTGACTTTGATTTGACTGCTAAATCTGTTGCTCAAAGTGCCAGCAGAGCCTTAGGACTGCTAATCGCTAAAGCAAAACAAATGGGTGGTATGCCTTATAATGTTTATAATAAATTATATGACAGCACTGTCTGGCCTGTAATTTCATATGCTGCATCAATTTGGGGTACAAAATCTTACACCTGTATAAATGCCGTACAGAATCGTGCAATAAGGTTCTTCCTGGGAGTTGGAAAGTACACTCCCACAGCAGCTTTATATGGTGAAACTGCATGGCGTCCTCCGCATGTAAAGCAATGGCGGTCTGTCTCCCAACAGTGGCATAGATTATGCACCATGGATACAAATCGACTTAACTATAAGATTTTTATGGCATGTAGAAATAAACGTAATTCTAGATGTAAAAAACTGGCAATTTATGTATATCGCTCACATGTCTAGTTTAGATCTTGATGATTTTTTTAATGAATTGTATTAATATGTCATCTAAAGTGTTTTGTAGCAATGTGGAAGAAAAAAATATGAACATTTATATAGCTAGTTGGGAAAACAGTATTAATAATATGTCTGGTCCAAGTAGAAATGGTCGTAATAAACTAAGATCATATAGAGATTTCAAACACGATTATGAAACAGAAATGTATGTATCTACAAGTAATATTCCTGCTAAACACAGATCAGCTCTAGCTAAATTCAGATGTGGTGTTGCGCCTATACAATTAGAAACGGGGCGATATGAAAATATGCCTGTTAATGCTAGACTATGTCCTATTTGTAAAAATGCAGTTGAAACAGAAAAACATGTCTTATTAGAATGTTCTACATATCAAACCATAAGAAATAGTTTATATGAAGAAGCTGTTAAAATTAATCATGAGTTTCACAATTGGAATGATGATCAAAAATTTGAATTTGTTCTATCTAATAATAATATTGTTAGAGAAAGTGCCAAAACCTGTTTCTCAATATTAAATATGAGATCTTCTATACAGTTAGATTTAAGTGTAGACTGTTACTTTTAATTGCACATGTATACTTACTTAGTTTTAATAATTGGTTGAATGGTTTTTCAACAGTTGACACGAGAAAATGATGCGATTTTTTATGAAATTTCTTAAAACTATATATAAATAAAGAACAAATCGCAGGTTCAAATAGCGACTATTCAACCTGGAGTAGTTGCTCTTGTTTTCATCGAGTTAAATCTCTGTGCCTTTAAACCTTATATAGGAGTGAAGAAGAACCCTGTAACTATATATATATATATATATATATATATATATATATATATATATATATATATATATATATATATATATATATATATATATATTTTTGAGTACGTATCGTTCATTTTGTAATGGCTAACTGTACATGAGATCAATTCCTGAAGGATCGAGCTCTCTCAAGCGCGTTTTTGTCACGCGCACCAGAACTGATTTACATTGATATGAAATTGGAAGACCACTTTGTGAACGGTTGGCTCAAAATAATGATTTTTTTCTCGAAAATTTATGCACTTTATATACCAAAAGAGTAAATCGCCGGAAAATGACCTAGCCATGCGGAAATCTCCTGGACAG